TGTAATCCAATTTCATGATAGGCTAACAGAGAAAACTCTAACCACTCCTCTTGTTTTAGAATACCTACAATTGTTTATTAAAAACAGAACCAGTGTTCCCAAAACTTCTTCATCTGTTCTCAGGGTGCCAGCTTTTTCCAGAGACGGTGTTCTGCTTGTTATGGGAAGACAGTCTGAGAACTTTATTGTTTATAAAAAGAGTCTAATTGTTTATAGAAATCAGAAGGCTGAGAACTGCATTAGGACTGCTTTACTTTTTCCTCTTACTTTTCTCTCAATTGTATGTCTCATGGCCTTTTTCTTTAAGCCATTCTTGAACTAAACTCTCCAACACAAAAGTTATTTGATTTACTTACAAGGCTCGTGGATCTGGTCTCCCACTGCAAGCATCCATTCTATGTTATGCATGTGAGGTCCCACACTGACCTGCCTGGGTTCATCACCAAGGGCAACCGTCGTGCCGATTCCCTGGCCGCGGCTGCTGTCACGGTAGGCCCACTCCCAGACGTGTTCGGCCAGGCTAAGATCAGCCACCAGCTCTTCCATCAGAACGCGCCTGGCCTGGTCCGGCAATTCCACCTGACCCAAGACCAGGCCAAGGCGATCGTGGTCACAAGTCCCCAATGCCAAAAAGATCAAATGCCCGTCATTGCCTCGGGGGCTAATTCCCGGGGCTTAGCGAGCTGTGAGGTGTGGCAGATGGACATAACACACATCCCGTCTTTTGGTAGATTGTGTTACATCCATGTCTCAGTGGATACCTTCTCCGGGGCTATCTATGCCTCTGCCCACACAGGTGAGAAGGCCGTGGATGTCCAGAAGCATCTGCTTTTGGCATTTGCTGTCTTGGGCATCCCTAGGGCCATTAAAACTGAAAACGGCCCAGCGTATACCTCTAAGGAACTGCGGAGCTTCCTACAGCAATGAGGAATAGAACATAAGACCGGCATCCCCTATTCCCCGACAGGCCAGGCCATGGTGGAAAGGGCCCACCAGAGCCTTAAAAAGGTAGTAGCAAGACAACAAGCGGCTGTGAAGGTGGAGACCCCCCACATCTGGTTATCAAGAGCGTTGTACACCTTGAACTTTCTGAATTGCTCTTTTGATAACCCAAATCCTCCAGTGGTCCAGCACTTCGGCAGTCACCAGCAGCTGCAGCCTAAAGCCAGACCCCTGGTCCTTATCAAGGATCCAGAGACCTGGCGGAGGGAGGGGCCTTTTGACCTGGTGACCTGGGGGAGGGGATACGCTTGCATGTCCACTCCTTCAGGGCTCAGGTGGATACCATCTAAGTGGGTCAGGCCCTTCCTCCCGATGCAGGGGACACAGAAGAAGGCGGTGCCAGAGGTGCAGATGGCGTGTTGGCAGCAGCGGAGGAAACCTTCCCTCATAAGATCATCACTCTCCTCTGGACTTCCCCCCATCCCAGAAGAGCCCTCTCCTCCCTCTTCCCCTCCACCCTTCGATTTTCCATTGATCTATGAACCCAGACCCTCTTCTCCTCTTTCCTCCCCACCTTCTTCAGATTTAAGTTTGGTGTTTGAGGCAGAACCATCAGTTTGACTCCTTTTTACTTTCACTATTCTCTTTCTTGTTTCAGTACATCTCCCCGATGGCCCCCGCTACAACACCTATGGCTCCCAACCCGGGCATCCTGCTGATGATGCTAATGGCCTGCGTACTCCAGCTGCCATCATCAGAGTCGTGGGTCATCCCCCAGCCGAAGGTCAATGTCTGGCGTGTCTTGGCTCAGTCACTGAGACAGGATCACATATGCCTCGACACCGGCTCAGCAGAGGACCCAATGTCGTCTTGTCTTGTGGGGATCCCTTTCTCTCCAGGCAAGTTCCTTTCCACCTTCCAGTCAGCCCTTTCCCCTATTTTGGCCTGGAGCCTCACTATCCTCCCCAGTTTTGATTCTAGCAACGCCTGGAGAGACGGAGTGTTTAGGCTGGATCCTTTAGCCTCTGAGCCCACAGAATTACATCTTCTCGGTTCCACCAATGCTTCTATTTGTTTTCAATTTTATTACACTCTTGCTCCAATAGAGAAGGGCATGGAGGTGGTCCAGCAACCTAAGAAAGAATACCAGGCTAACCAGTGGTGCAAAGCCGTGTTGAAGATCAGTGGCCCCACCACCACTGGACGGACCCCTTATGCCCTTCCCAGGGGAGCGTTCTTGATTTGTGGTGACCGAGTGTGGGCGGGCATCCCCTCTGGTCTGATCGGAGGGCCGTGCACTTTTGGCAGATGCTGTTTACCCCCAACATCACCCAAATTGTTAATTGGAAAAAGGTAAATGTCACATCGGAATTGGCCAGGTCTAAAAGGGATCTTAAAGATCTCACTGAAGAATGTGACGACGAAATTACTCATTGGTCCCGCTCTAAATCCGTCGCTTTTACCATTCTATTGCCTTGGGTATCAGTGGTGAAGTCTCTAGGTGAATTGGGCTGCCTAGAGTGTTGGGTGGCAAAGCAAGCCAATTTTACATCAGCTGCCCTATGCGACCTCCTCACAGACGAGGAAATAACAAGAAAGGCGACACTCCAGAACAGGGCAGCAATTGATTTTCTATTGCTGCTACACCACCACCACTGCTGCATGAACCTGTCCTCACGAGCCGAGGACGCCAGACACTCAGTCAAGCGCTTGCAAGACCTTATCCACCAAGTGAAGCAAGAGACATCTGACTGGCTGGGGGAAATTTTTAAGGGTTGGGGCCTTAGCAGGTGGGCCAGCTCTGTTGTGGAGTCTGTGTGTAAAGTTGCTTTTGGTTTAGTTATACTCTTGATTTTTGTTGTATTGATCCGCGGACTGGTCAAAAAGCTAGTGGCAAAGTTAACATCGCCAAGTGTGAACCATGTCACTGCTCACAACGACAAGCCAGTCAATCTGGAGGACCTCTCTTCGGAGGCCGGAGAAGCTGCGGATGGAGAGGGGCCCACCGCGCCGCCCTTGGACAATCTGTGGGTGGACGGACTCCAGCTCAAAGAGGGCAAAACTTGGCCGGACCAGCTGCGGGTCTCTTCATTTTAAGTTTTACCTGGACTTTTCCATTCTTTTCTGTTTAATTGGTAAAAAATGGGGAGATGTTGTAGTGTGTTTTGTTAGTTTATTTAATTGTTCCCCCATTTTCTGTATTGTTCCCCCCCATTTGATAATGGTTCTGCCCTCCCTCTTTTTCCTGCCATAGACTTGTCTATTATGTTGTTCCCATGGCAACTCCCGCCACTGGGGTTGTCAGTCCTTTTAGTTATATAATTCCTCCTCCCCCTAATATCCTTGTATGTAACTTGCTTCTCCTCCCTGGGCCCAGTCAACCACCCCCACTCCTCCTATTTTACCAGAATCTTCTTCCCTAGGGGGGTTATGATTGGCTGTGGTCCCGGGGCCCCTCCCTTACGTTGTATTGATTGGGTTTTCCCTAATGCCTGTTATGTTAGGTTCACTCCCACGTTCTCCCTTATTGGTTCTGTGTAAACCCCTCCCTGAAACACCCTCTCCCTTTATAGCCTTGTTCCACCCTCCATTCCTGGTGTCTCCCTGGTTGTCGTCTTGGGCATCACAATAAACCCGACTTGACCCCATCGAGAGTCCAGCTCCTTATTTCCTGTCGTGGTGGCAGCGAGACCAGTCCACAGCGAGCACAGCCCGAGGCCTCCTGATGCCAAGGGGTGCTCGCCTTGGATTGCAGCTGGGTGTCGGCCTACCCTCTGCTAGCCGGACACTGACCTCCAAGGCCAGACACACCTCACCGCAGGTAGGTAGCAAGAGCAGAGGGAGAATTAAGGGTGAAAATTAGGCAACAAATATTAATTGGTCTTACTCTGAAAAGGCAGCGTCTTTGGTGGAGAATGTATCTTTTTTTTTTGCAGCTTGTTTTATTTCTAATGGGGAACAAATTTACCTGTTTGTCTCTCAGGATTCAAGGATTCCTTTTGCAAAGGTCTGACTGGTTTCCATTCTGCTTAAAGTCAGCCAGTGCTGGGATTGACAACAGCTCTAATCCCTGGATCCTTCACTGCTGCTCTGGTGAAGCACCTGAGCACAGGCTTAACCTGAAGAGCCAAGGAAGTGTTGCCATCAGTCTAGGTGAAATCAGAGCAGATGCTGGGAAACACCAGTGTTTTCTGGGCTGCAGCCTGTGCTCTCAAAGGCACTATAGGATTTTCTGTAGTTGATGTGGCTTATCTTTCCAAATTTAAAATTTGTATCACAGAGTGCCCCTTACTTGTCTTTGCTTTTAATGATTTAAGTGATGCAAATATCTTATCACTTGCATAAATAACTTCAAATCTCACCTGAGTGGAATGATAAAAAAACTAAATTGTATTCCAACTGCTATGGAATATTAAATGTGCTTATATTAATAATGAACAACACATGAAATTTTGCTTGTCACATGAAACACATTTTTTTCCTCTGAAGAACGAGTAGAACTTGTTAAGACTGCAGTGTGATGCATGTTTCCTCTGTGATAGCTGTGATGTTTTACATGGTTGTGCCTAGAGGTTGGTGATGCTGACCCACAGATCTCTGAGAGAAGGGAGGATTTCCAGTGTGTCTATTACTCATACTCATAACCCATACCTCTGTGAGTACAGGAAAGGAAAATTAAATAAGCCCTGATAAACTTGCCTTTTTGTTTTTTTAAGACTTTTTTTTTCAAGAAATGATGAGGATCAAACAGCAGCATGTAGAAAAAGTTACTCATTGAACACATACTCTGTTTTCAACTTGAGAACCTGAGGAAAGCTGCTGTATCAGGAGCACTAAACCTAGGCCAGTGAGATCAAGAGTTGTGCTGTAGGGTGAGCAGTGGGATATTGCAAACAGCTGCTTTATTCTGTCTCTGTCTTCCACAGTGCTTATGGGAATTGCTCCTCTTCTATGTTTGCTATTTTTGGCTTTTTGGGGTAAGGAGTTGTTAAGGATACATTCTGAGATCTGAAATATCTTTGATAAGCATTCATTTCCTTTTTTTTTTTTTTCCCCTTGGGTCGAAATGGGAAAGGCTCCATTTTTGTGTGGACTTCAGGGAACGGAGGTCGCCAGGGTGACAGCTGCGACTGTGATGATTACACTGACAGCATCTACATCATCTCCATTAGCAGTGCTTCTCAGCAAGGGCTTTCTCCCTGGTATGCAGAGAAGTGCTCCTCAACTCTGGCCACAGCATACAGCAGCGGGGATTACACTGACCAAAGAATTGTAAGTTGCTTTTACCAGTTTCAGAACAAACAGAAAAGTATGATATATGCAAATAATAAACAAACATCCTAAATGCTTGGCTTCCAGTGCCTGCTTTATGTTATGTGGTTAGTGCCTTTTTGAAAATTTAAGGGATTTGCGATCCAAAAGGTGATTGTATTCCTCTATTCTTCTACCTTAAAGCAATGGTTAAATAAAATCATTGTGTTGATGCAGTCAAATCAAGTGCTGAATTTGTCTGCGGTTTGTGTGCACTGTTTGTTTATGAATGTGGTCTCTGTATGCTTTGATATGGCACTATTCTTCACAAAGGGAAAATGAAGAGAGATTTAGAGCAAAAATAAAATCTGTGACATCAGGGCCGCTGCTCTACCTTGTCATTACATTTTTTCATGCAAGGGACAGCAACCACAGTGGCTCCAAACCTTCCAAACTCGGCAAGCAGGCATGCCAGTCTGTGTGCCTTCCTTAACTGTGCTGAAGAAAATTGGTGTGGCACAATAGTGCTGAAATACCTGTAATTTCTGTCCAGCCCTGGTTCATGTTAATTTTACAATGCACTGCACTGATGGGGATTAAAACAGCGTCCTTCCAAGTTAGCTGGAGATCAGTCCTTACTATGTGGCTTGTCTTTATAGTCGAGATTTAGATAAATGGGCTGATGAGTTTGGTGTTTATTCATTACAAATTATAGTTCTTCTGCTGAAGAGGGAGCAGAACACCAATGCTAATCCTATGAGTAATTTCCTAGTAAGCAGTAATTTTGAATGTTCTAGGCCCAACAAAATGATCTGTTTTCATGAATCACCAGTAAGCCTGAAACACTTATTGTGAAATCTTTAGACTAAAATAAGATATTCAGAGTGGGAGTATTTTGTTCCAACAAAAAACGTTTTGATACTAAAATTATAGTTGAAGTAAAAAGAGTGGATTGAAATACGAACAGATTTAAGCACTGATCACTTTTTCTTGCTGGTGAGGAGTGTATTAATACGCACCAAGTAAGGGACACATAGTTACGCTTGCGAGTATGGATACTACAGTATTTAGAACTGTTTATTTATGCTTTTTTTCTTTTTCTTTCTCCTTCCTCCTTTTTTTTTTTTTTTTTTTGTAATTTTTATTGTTTTCTGTCAGACAAGTGTTGATCTTCACAATGAATGTACAGAAACTCAGACAGGGACCTCTGCATCTGCACCTCTGGCAGCAGGAATTTTTGCTCTGGCGCTAGAAGCAAAGTAAGATGTCACACCATCACCTTTGAAACTTCTTTCTCTCAGCCACCCCACTGACTTTCCCAATATGCCTGCTTTAAGAGGCACTACCTCATACTGCAACTCCACTTTTTGTCAGTCAGGCAAAAGTCAGTCCACTTTTTGTTTGCTCAGGCTGATGACTAAAAAATGAGCAGCTACTTGCCCCAGCAGCTTCCTAGAAAAGCAGAACCAACGCAAATAAATCATGATGACTGAGGAATATTTTGTGTGTTTGTGTGTTGGCAACAGCATTTACTGATTTCTGGTCAGATGCATCTAAAAGTGAGTGTGCACATGGATTCAGGAGAATGTGATTTGAAGACAATGGGCTACAGGAGTTTAAACTAAGCCTCAGCAAATGTGCAGAAGAATTTCTGCCAGTGATAAGGCATAAAAGAGAAGGTGACCAAGCTTGTCTGTCAGAGCAGGAAGGGAGCAGGCAGGTTTGGATGCTGTAGGGCAGGTAGTCAGAATTTAGGCCTTGGGGAAGATAAGAAAGGATGGGACAATGACTTTTTTTCATAGAAAACACTTTAGACAGTAGTGCACAGGTTTAATGCTTGTATCATGTAGATTCAGCTCCATTTTCTACTGCACACCCTTTTGGTGACATGAGCCTATATTAAATATTAGATGTTAAAAATCAGATTTTTAAAGAGTAGAGTGAGTCACAGATGGAATCAAATACCCAGTTTTCAAAGTCCTGGCATTAAAAAGTGAGGTAGAAAATTCTAGTGTTACTAGCTAACTTTGAATGCCCGAATTGTTTTGGAGGATTGGACTCTTGCTAGATACCCATTCTTCATGACACAGAAATCTTGTGCACCCAGAGAGGTATTGTGAGGATAAGTGCAAAATGCTGTGTGTTATAAAGCAGTGGGATGCCATATGCATTCAAAGCACATTCTGTTTCAGTCTAATAATTGATAGAAAAATGATAGATAGCCCTGAAACAACTAACCAAGAGCATTTTCCAAACAGCCCAGATCTAATGTGGAGGGATATGCAGCACTTGGTAGTGTGGACCTCAGAATATGACCCACTGGCTGGAAATCCAGGATGGAAAAAGAATGGAGCAGGACTGATGGTCAACAGCCGATTCGGGTTTGGGCTACTCAAGGCCAATGCCTTGGTGCATTTAGCTGATCCCAAGAGATGGAAAAGTGTACCAGAAAAGAGAGAGTGCATTGTCAAAGACAAGAGCTTTGAACCCAGGTAAGGATTTGCACTTACCTATTGTAATAAAGCCTGAAGGATCATATTCTTCACAGATTGCTCTGAACAGGAATAAGGGACTTCTTTTGATTCATTTAGTTTTGCCAGACTGTATTCCCCAGAGACAGGCAAGCAACATTGCTCCTTGGTTTGTTTTTTTAGTGTAAGACTGATGGAAATTACTAGCATGAAGCCTTAACAAAGACTAAGATTATTATGTCTGCTTGTGCAGACAGCGTATAAAAGAATGATACTGTGAGGCTGAGCCCAATCAGCAAGGCTGTGAATTTTAGACAACCATCAGAAGAGAGATGAAAAGATACTGATGTCTCACAAAGATTTTTTAAAAATAAAAGTGTCTGTAATGGGTCTTAGCAATTCTTCTCCTGTGACAGGCTTGTATATGTTGTAATCAAGGTGATATATTTAACTTTAGTAATGTCTGCAGCATTTCTCTTATGAATCTCAAATGTGTCAAAGGCTCACTGAAAAGTCTTATGAGCCACATGCCAACATCACAGTGAACCTGAACAGATACATTAATTATCATTAGTCCTTGGGCTGGTTAATCAATAAGGATATCTAGACTCTTTTTGTCTCTGCATGTTGGCATACGGATTTTATCCAGAAAAAAATATCTGTTTCAAAGGCTGAAATTATACCACGTGACCGCAACAAAGGTCTGTCTGCAGAAACATATTACAGTGTTTTGGACAGTCACTGCTTGGTAATCTTATTATTTATGCTATTTCACTATCTAATTGTTTTTATGGACTCTGTCTCTTTCACAGAATGTTGACCCACTACTGATGTATGCCACACTTGCTCTTTATGTATTTTTACTGCAGTCCTGTATGTTACATTACAAAAACAAAGATCCCATGATACTGAGCTTAGAATTATTTATGTGGCGATTTAGATACCCATTGTGTTTGGAAGTAACAGGAACTGTGCAGAGAAAGCTATGCAGAGTCTCTCTCTGTGCAGAGCATGAACGTTACCTTTTTTTTTTTTTTGAAAGCAGACATTACCTTTTTTTTTTAATTGAGCTGGCATTAACTCTTCTTTCCTCATCATTCTGAAATGACTGTCAAACCTGCCATTCATGACCCAGAATCAAGAGTCCCTGTGGGTAATCAAAAAACTACTTTAATTTTGACAGATTATTAAGAGCAAATGAAGAAGTCATTATTGAAATTCCCACAAAAGCCTGCGAGGGCCAAGAGAACTCCATTGCATCTCTGGAGCACATGCAGCTCGAGGCAACAACTGAGTATTCCTGTAGAGGTGATCTGCATGTTACTCTGGTTTCTCCATCAGGTACAGGAGGAAAAGATGCGTTTTATCTGTGTTGCTGTAGTGTGTAACGTTTACTTCATGGAAAAAAATGTGGTTTTCAGTGGTTAAAGAGAGCTAAATATATCATTGGGCAAATCCAGTGAGGATAAAGCAGCCAGGGAGTGATAGAGACCCTTCTTCAACCTCCACCTGTGCTGGGTTCTTTTTGCGGAAAGAGATTTGAAAATCATACTTGAGAAATGAGGCATCTTGACCTATGAAACCTCAGGGCTCCTGGCAGACCACAGATTATAGATCAATAATTCTTATCAGACTTTCTGTGATTTAGCAGACTAATGGAAAACTGAGGATATCTGATTCCTTAGGTTTTATTTCATGCATCTCCCCATTGGTGTATTTAAAAAAACCAAAGTGTTTCTGTTAGGTACCTTAGTACAACTGTACTAAATGAGCTAGAATATGGCAAGCTGACGTGACAATGTCCTGAAACAGCATACTAAGACTAAACAAAAGGAAAAAAAAAGATATTATAAACAAATAAGAGTAAAGTCTGTTAGATCAACTGGTATTAAAAAAAAAAAAAAAAGACAAGCTTTCATGTATGAATTTAAATATCAGGCTGATCTAATTTTTCTGTTTCTAGGTAGCAATCATCAAGTACTGCTGCCTCCACTGCACTATCATTTTGCTTTCATGGTTAAATTGTTTTTCCCTTGTTTCTTGCTGCTTTTCTACTTTCCTGCAAAGCATTAGTAGCAAATGTATGTCATTCTTTTTCTATATTTATGGTGTTGCCTTTAAATATATTTATAAATTGTGACAAGGCTCCTTGGGGCTTCACTGCTCCTTATTATGTAAATATTGCTCCCTTGCTTTTTTTCTTATACATAAACAAGCCAAACAAATTTTCTCCTGTGCAGTAGAACCTCTTTTGCTGCAGAAATGCTTTATGAGCTGCAGCATTTTTGCAATAATAACAATGCAAATGCATTTTTTCACCCTGTTGGAGGACCAGGCTGTAACAATATACATCCAGTTACGAAAATAAAAAATCCCTGAACCAGTGAAGAAATCATGACAAGTCTGTGGTGGTTTCATAATACTGTATGAGTTTTACCTTCAAAACTTCCATTTCAGAAGTTTCTTGAACAGCTCATCGGTGGGAAAGACTGGTTGTGCTTGACATCTTCTCCTTATGCTTCTTTTATGTGCGTTCACTACCTTTTCGTGCCAAAGATAGAACACTGAACAAGATGTACCTTCTTGGTGCGACCTAACAGCTTGTGCACTCCTAAGCACTGCTGTACAAATAATGACAGGAGCCACTGCTAAAGGAGGCACTGCTGAGCAGTGTATTTTCCAGGTCACCTCTGCTCAAGGCAGTGTGCAAAGCTGACAAATATGAAAAGTAGGAGCAGGCAGCACATGGAAAATCAGAGTGTTGATCTTGCACCCACACAGGGACCAGCACTGTAGCACTGTCTTACTGGCTGAGAGAGAGAGGGACAAATCTCCCAATGGATTCAAGAACTGGGACTTCATGTCTGTCCACACGTGGGGGGAAAATCCAGCAGGCACCTGGATTTTAAGAATTACTGATATGGTGAGTATGCCTGTATGCTAACTAGCTGTGTTTGGGAGCTAAAACAGATTAAATGATCACTCATCACTACAAAGCAAGTTGAGTAATGAGCCTGCTCATTAGGCAAGCTAAATGAGGGGTTATTGAAGATATCCAGCTGGGTTAAGGATTAAAGAAAAAAGGCAGGGTCAGATTTTCTTGTTCTTTACATACATGCAAAGCCCCATTCTCATTTCACTGGCCCATACCTCTAAAAAAATTTCAAGCTTGTTTTTTTTCAGACACATATCACCAAAATTATTCACTTGATAAAGTTTTCTTTGATTCTTGGATTGAAATATTAAATAAAATTAACACATGGTTAACTGGAAATTCTTTTCTGCAGAGAAGAGCACAGCATGGATCTAGTCTTCTTTTGGTCCATGTTTATAGCTTTCATTATCTGGGAACCTTTTGAATTAATGATTTTTTGGGGGATCTCAGTGATCTATTCTGATGTATACATTCCCCTAATTTCTTTCTGAGAGTATCTAGTGCTGAACAACGCTTAAGGATTAAATCTAAGTAGTCTACAGGTATGAAATAAATCAGTTCACTAAAGCTACCTGGGGAATATGGATTACAACAGCAAGACACCAGAATTAAGCTGCTTGGTAGGCAACTGAAAAAGAATTCCCTTCAAAGAGAGAGTGATCAAGCTCACTCACCTCATTGAAGTTGTCTGTTAATAAGCTTGTCCTTAGGGCTCAGATCTTGCCAAAAACTGAAAGCTTCCTGTTGGACACCGAGCCTTCAGCCCCTATTGGCCTCAAATTGTAAACAGGAGGGTGTTGCCAAGAGCTGAGCAGATGGACAAGGCACCAGGAGTAAATATTACTATCAGCAGTGTAGTGTTAATGCTGCAGGCTCATAGATAGCCCCATGGTTACAGATATCGTGCTCTTTGAATGCATTTTTGTGGAACAAAGTTGAGAAGAGCATTTTGTTTGTAAATTAGCCCTCATTTCAAGTGAGAGCTTCCTGAAACTTACAATAAAGCAAGATTTTTGTCCTCAAGGCATAATACACTCAATCCTCACCTTGTAGGTTTTTTCTCTAGTTTTTTCTCTACTTGTCTCTTCCACTTTCTACTTCTATTTCTACTTCCACTTCTATTTCTACTGCCACCAAAATTTATAAATAAACATTTGCTGCTTGCTTCCACACACTGTATTTCAGATTGCTCTTGTACACCACATAATAAAAAAGAATAGTATTTCACATTATCATTTCCAATGTTAAGTTTTATATGGAAATTACCAAGGAACAGCCTAGTGAACAAGTTCTAATAATGCAAAATACTGCTTCAGTAGCTTCTAGTATTCTGTGTCATGACAAAATTCCATTGATGCTTACATGATGAATTAATAATTATGTTACATCAAAATGTGAATATTTTATGTGGTTAGGCTATTTTATTAAATCCCACATTCTAATATACTCTGTCTCTACTACATCTGGGGTTTTTGTGCTTACCTCCATAGGTAGGTATTGAAAGCCTGATAATTTGCTTTGGTCGCTTCTGTGTACTTTGCATTCAAGTGTCTATTTTGCTCTTTTATGTCCTGAGAGCCCATTCTGATGCCACGCTTGTTTTTCAGTCCAGGCGAATACAAAATGAGGGGAAGATTGTAAACTGGAAATTGATTTTGCATGGCACTGCTACCCAGCCCGAGCACATGAAGCAGCCACGTGTGTATACATCCTACAATGCTGTGCAGAATGACAGGAGTGGAGAAGATAATGGATCTTGTGGAGGTAGAGTTGGATTGCATTTATTCCATATATGTTTTTCAGTTTATAAGAAAATGCTGGTTTGTTGGTGAGGTATTTGGGGGTTTTTTTGCCTAGTAAGAAGACACATGTTTATTTTGTATTCATTTCATCTAACTCTTTATTGGTTTTGAGTGCATATCATAATTTTGCCCATGTCAACAACTAATATTTTTATGTGTCTCTCCTTCAAATTGCAAAATGTAAGGGATTTGGGGTCATAACAGGAAATTACTCCCAAAGCAAGGAACTCTGTGGCTAATGCAGCTGAGTGGTGGAAGGAGGGAGGAAGACACCTCTGACAGACACACTAAATTTATGCAATTCTACTGAAAACGAGTGTCCCATTCTAAAGGAACTTTTCCTGCTGGAGAGCTTCCAGTGAGTTTGCAAGGAATTTCAGGAACAAAAGGCTTGAGAAAAATCAGGGACTCTCTGATTCAAAGGTTTGGCCCAGTGATCTGTTGCTGCCAGATCCTTTAGGATCCCCTGTTTACCCTAGAGATAGCAGTGCTCTAAAAATACATCAAGGCAGGGTGACCCTGGATTGCAGGATGCACAAGATGGTAGCAATGCACATTTTCATAGTGCTTGATTACGTCAACAGCATCAGAAAATAATCCCATCACATCAAATTGTCTCCCCATTAAGTAATTAGGACATTCATGAAGCACAGATAGTTTAACCTTCCTCAGACAGGTTATGAAAGGTGAGTGTGATAATAGTCTCTAAATCCATTACATAAATGTCTCCAGGTCTGGCAGCTATGGGCAAAAAAAAAAATTGGAAGAAAGTAAAAGTGGATTCAGCATTTGCTGTAGTAGAAAATGGGTGGACATGGTAAAAATTACATGAAGATAAAATGAGTGTTCAGTTAGAAATGCCGTTCTGGTTTGAATGAGGAAGCTCCGCAGGCATGTACTAGTGTTGAAATAAGATCATGCCTCTCACCAGCTGCTCTGTGAACCTGTACTTGGGATTGGCCTTCCAAGGTCTCCTAGGTTTGTGTTATGCTCACCCATTTGCCATACTTCACTGCCTTTTTCTCAGGTGAGATCATCTACAGAGAAGGCTTCAGGGAAACACTGGTTCCATCCTTTTCCTAAGAGTACAAGGCACAATCAGAACTGCAATCACCACTGCATTGTATGTTTCCTTCATTTAGAGTGCTGTGTCTCATGACACAAGAATTATTTCCTAAGACTGGGACAAATCCAAATGCTATAATATGTATAAAATGACATGTTGTATTTTGCCAATATGGAATCTGAATTTATAAATGCCTGTATTGCGGAAGGATTTGATATTTTTTACAGTGTAGTACTTTCAAAAGTTTGTTTTGGTTGATAATGGTCTGCTTGTTTTCTAGATGCCCAAGAGGCTCCTGAATGAAAAAATGACATTTTCCCACACATAGGTGGAGATCACCATCCAGAGCAAGCCTTAATCCAGTCAGTCTTTCACTGACACCTGACCTTTCTTTCATGCTAATCTGTATTCTAGGACCATACGACACTGGAGAGCCTGAGTGAAAAACCCAAGGCCACAGAAGACACCAGCAGTGACAAAGCAGAAGATAAAACCCCTTCAGAAGCCATGCTGCATTTACTGCAAAGTGCTTTTAGCAGGCAGATGGATCAGAAGCAGCTGCCAAAGAAGACTGCAAGTGAGAAGTTAAACATTCCACACAAACACTTCTATCAAGCCCTCAGAAAATTGAACAAGCCCTCCCAGTTAAGAGGCTCAGAAGAAAGTCTGTACAGTGACTACGTTGATCTTTTTTACAATGCCAAATCTTACAAGCATAGAGATGATAGACTGCTGCAAGTGTTGGTTGATATCATAAATGAGGGAAATTAACTGTAGGGCATGACACTGAGTTGGAAATATTAATTCTCCCCACCTGTAGTTTTTTTTCCAAAGTCTGTGTACGCTCTAGTTGTGTGATTGCTGCTTTGATTGCTTGATATTTAATACAAATATCAAGGAAGAGAAAAATGGGTGTAAGGGGATAAGACAGGAAAATTACACTTTTTAGTATTATCTTTTTTAAAAACCTTTCTTCAGAGTAGATTTGCCCCCTCAGGCATGAAATGCAGTAGTACTCCCCTGAAAACCCTAATTCTCTATTGTAAACAATTTTCACATTGCTTATTCTTCCACCCTCTTCACTTAAGCATGCAGTAGGATTCAAAACCTGAATTACCAAGCAGTTTTGAACCAAACTGCCAAAGCTATGGGGATATATTCTCATCCATGGATTTGTCATGAATATTGCAGTCTTTGTTATATTTGTCATTTATTCCGATTTAATACTTCAGTACTGCTTCCGTCATAGGTGTTTTGTTCCTCCTCCAAACAAACGCTCCCTTACCCTTCTGTTCTCCTGTAGAGGAACATCTGGGAGGCTGGGGTTGGACTGGGGCATTGGTGAATGCTGATGAAGTTATTCACAATTTAGATACAGACAGAAACACCCAAATTAAAAAAGAGCCCCCGTGGAGGCATCCCAGACCATGGGATGGCATTCTCTCCAGCAGGCTTGGAACTTACCCAAGTGAAGTGCCTGAATTATGAGCCTGGTCTTTCTAGGCCCCATGTGTTCAATGAGGGCAGAGTCTCACTTCAGAGCACTTGGCTTTCTTTTCACGAGTTATGCATCCCCTGATGGAGTACTGACCTGTTTGTGCCAATTATTTGAGCTTTGGGCTCCAACCTCCGACCCGTGGAGCCTCAGTCAGGTCTCCAAAGCAGTACAAAGCTGCCTTCTGAGATGCCTACATCTGCAAGCAGCCAGAGACTGTTGCAGAAAAGTCCACCCAAAGACTCTAAAATTCCCAAAATATCTAGGTAGACGAGGCAAAATTGTCTGAGATTTAAAAAAAAAAAAAAAACAAACAGTACCCTGAGAAGGGTGAGCATGGAATGTGGAGTGGTAAGAAGAGTTTGTGAGGCAGAGGTGGCTGTCAGAAAACAACTAGGGTAAGCAACCCCCTAACATTAGCAGTTTTCCATACATACCTCTTTAATGAGAGTCAAAATTATATATTACTTTGCTGCTAATAAATGAAAAAAAAAAAAAATAAAAAGCCATGTTGGAGGCTCAGAAAAGCTAGGGGATCTAGAACAAGGAAATGAAGATTCCTAGGGGATAGTTATCTCATTGAAGTACTAAAGAAAACCCAAAAAAGTGCTGACTGCTCTTTACTTTTCTTCCTCTTGCCTACTATTGAAATGTGTTTTGTGGACTCTCTAGAAATATTTGATTGGATTCTTTCTCACTGTCTATTCCTTAAAATTATGCAAGTGTCTCTAAGACAGGAATTTTACATTTTGCTCATAATCCATCAGTTCAAATAAAAGTTTTTCAAACTTCACACTAAATCCTGTAATTTAAAGGTAAACCTATTTACTGTAACTAATTAAGAATTCTGTGGAAAAAAGGACTTCTCTAAAGAGAGCTTTGAAAATTTTCTTACCAAATAAAAAACATTCTTTGTGGTGGCTTCATGCCTGTCTTGGGCTTAGCCTGCCTTTTTGCCAGTTTTCAGGATTCTTTGATATTCTTCTAGTCAGCAGTTGAAGGATAATATCTCTGCTACTGAATGCTGCTGGTGCTGAATCACTCCCTCTCTACTAAGAAATTTGCTTAGGAAGAGAAGTCATTAAAAAAAAAAAAATTCCTGCAAGTGGTCCAGATCAGAAAGCTTTTCCCTTTGCTGTCCTTTCCATGCAAAAGCTTTCTGGCATCGCATAACTAATGAACAAGCAAACCATGAAAATTTCTAATTGCTGCTATTACAGAATGAGAGCACTTCTTTTCACTAATGTTTAATTTTCAGAATAGGCTCATATGGCAAGGTAAGGGCCACCTTTAGTCCTGTGCAATGAAGCTTAGAGGCTGGTTCCCTCAGATAACAACAAATTTAGCCAGTTGTCATTCAGGTATATTACAGGGAGGAAAGTACTAACAACAAAAGCTCCATCAGGCCTTGAAAGAAATGTTCAGGTTAAAAGGGTGGGAAACTAAAGACCCTCCTTTGTTTTAAGATCAGTTCCTATGCTGTAGCCAAAGTTTCAATAGATGACAAGTTTAAAATCTCTCTTTTGAATGTTTCCAACCCAGATCAGCTTGTACAGGAGTAAATTATTTTTATTGTTAGTCTTTCCTTGGTGCCTGTGTGGGTTTTGTGAAAAATGTAAAAGTAAAAAAAAAAGTTTTCTCTCAGAATTTTAAATTATCTTTTCGTTACAGGTATTTATAATATAGCAAAGATTTTATTGAACAGACAGAATTTTAAAAGGCATAATAAATTATATTGAAGAACCAGATTTTTTCTTGAGAAAGAGACAATTTCATCCAATAAACATATTTTTTTAAAAGGCATGTTACAACAGCAACTGCAACATGTATGTGATGTGATGTTAAAATTTGTCTACTAGTAGCATAATACAATGTGTTAGCAGAGCTCAGTGTGTGGTCTTAACATTTGTAAAGAAAACAGCAAGATAAAGTCAAGCTATTGACTTGAATGGGAAATTGAGTTTAGAATGAAAAATAATGGTTTGGGGAAATAATCAGGATTGGGTGGAAAGAAATGTGGAATGTACTGAGAATGAGGGCTTCCAAGGGATCTCTTCAGCAGGAACACTCACTTGTTTCCTTCTCACAACAGCAGCCAAGTAAGGTTTGCTGTGGATATCACTGGCAGCAGCACTGTCTCTAATTCCCACAATTAAAATAATTCTGCCTATTTAATACACAGATGTGTGTGTCAGAAGCACTAAAATGAAATAATGCAGCAAAAAGAGTCAGGGGGTCAGGTTAAACACATGGGTCTTCTCTTCCTTGCATGAAAACTGTTGAAATAATTGTTGTTCCCTCCACTCACATTTCAGCTTGGCAGAGAAAAGAGCCCTTAAACCCTTGTACACTGAACAGTGTAACCAACTACCTCTCATTTACAAAATCTTCTTTGTCAACTGCCCTAAGGATAATTAAAACACTCTTAATGTGATTTCAACAGACATATTCCCTTGTGAGAAATACTTACACTAAATGTACACAGAAAATTGATTTCTGAAGTAGTTTTAAGAAAAGAGAGAAATCTAAGCCTAAATTAGAGCAAACTACCCAGCTTCCATACTAAACAGTATTTTTTCCTTCAAGTTGACTGGCTTTTGAAATGCTGCATTTGAACTTTCTACCTTCCCCAGCTTTGAGTTTTCCAAGCAGAGTTTCTGTTAAGTCACATCTTGTAACCCCAAACTTGTTAATTTAGATTTCTAATGAAGTGTCCTCTTTCTTACTTCTCCCTTTCCTCTCCACTCTGAAAACAAGCATAAACATTTTCAGTAAATAGAAGGCTAATTTAGGAAAGAGAATGGGGAGCCTTACAAATAAAATGCTAGCTCTAGTTTTTCTTATTGAATTATCTTAGTGTCATAGATTAAATGAGGATGAGGTCTGTTTTTTAAAGAGCACATTCACAGAAAGGGCGAAAAAAATTAACCTAAATGTTGATTTTTTAATTTTTTTTTTTTTTTTGTGCATAGATCACACTATGGAGGTGACAGTCACAACTAACTCCTTGTGCATCAGAGCCTCAGGAGGGACTGCACTGTCCCTGAGAGTCTCCTTCTGCAACATTAAGCCAGCCTCTGCCACTGCAGTTTTCCAAACATTACAAATCTGGAGGATTTGTAATCCTCCAGAAGAAAAGTTGGCATCCGAGTTAGTACAGCTCTGAAAGTAATTATAGAAGAAAAATTACAGGGAGAAATGCGAAGAATTATTATACAACACAGAGTACCTGCACAGCTTAACTCTTTCTGTTTGATCAAGTATTTCCTTTCAGGAAGTCCATTTTCAAAGCTCTGAGGGACCATTCCATTCACAGCAGCATTTTAGAAAATGAAAACTCTAGAAGTGTGTATTTTGCTTGAAATCAATTTGCTATCTAATATTTCTAACTGCAGACTGAAAAGGTTCAAACTCCAATCACTCTAGGCACTAATAAAGATAATTTCTGTGAACATTCTTCTACTTAATTACACAAGTACCCATTAAAAATATCACTTCTCCTATTGCATTTGTGAGAATAATGTAACCAGAAAGAATGAGAAATTTTGTTTCCAGAAATGCACTAAATGCCTACTGGAAAAATAAAATCTAATACGTTCCAAGTCCCCCATTAAGATACCAGAGAAAAATAAATAGATAATATATGAAAGTGAATGTTTATCAGGAAAATCTATCTTAATGTATATGCCATTTCAGCTATTTGACTGCCTCAAATCAAACGTAGCTAAGCACGTATCTCTTTCTTTCTGATGTCATATTCTTTCCCTAAAACAAATGAATTGGTTGCTGTTGCATGCAGCATTTTGTTTGACTATGGCCACATTATCAGGCAGTGTTTCAAACCATAAACATGCAGCATAATGCAGTGCCATATATTCTGATAAGGAAGTGCACTTAGGACCAGGGACGTGCAGCCCTGCCTGTGCTGCTGCACACAGGGCTCATGTGAAACAGATCCATAAAGGCTGGAAAAAGAGGAGAGCCAAAGGCCAGCCCCATTAGATCCACTGAATTAATTCCTCTCTTCAGAATAACGTTGGTGGGGTGCAGAGCACCACAAACACACAGGATGTCAGGACTGAGTTTGGCCTCACAGTTCAACAGCGAGCTCAGGTACTTCCACCCTCATTCACTGCTCATGAGAGACATATTAAAAACTGAGGATTTAGTATGAACTCTCAGCTATGAGCTTCTCCTCTTTTACATTGTATTTTTCTTACCTCACTGCAGAGAGGTGCACTGCCCTTCAATGAAACCTTTTGAAAAATACCAGTAGTTATTAAAAACACCACTTCACGCAAGAGTTTCATGCATCAAGCTGTCTGAATGCAGTTCATTGCTTACATTTT